GAGCTTGGTTCAACTGTCTGCTTGAGCCTCAAACAGAAGGGACGAACATGTTCAGTGACAATTGTTGCATTGGAGTGTCTGTTATATCAATGACGACTTGGACCGCAACGACGACGACGACGGGTTCCCTTTGAAAGCCTTCTCGCTACAGAGGTTTCTCGTCTTGCTTTTCGCAAAGGGGACCATCAGTGCCATAAATCAAAACTTGGCACAGAAATTTAAAATCAGTTCACCACGGAAGAGGTGAGCCGGTTGCCTCTTCGCCCTCCGCCGCGTTGTCATCCTGGTTCTCTCCTACGGCGTCTGTTTCAGGCTTGTTGTTCTTGCTCTTGGCCTTGGCTTTCTTCTTGGGCACAGGCTTTTTATCCTCTTCCGCCGTCCTTTTCCTATCGTCTGCCTTGCTTGCCACTTCGGATCTGTAAAAAGTGGACCCTTCAGTGGACATTTGCTCCAGAACATAGTCCGTCAGCAGGATCTCCAAGTGGCGAGAATGCGCTTCTGAGAGCGTGAATCCATAGAAGGGCACACGCTCGGACAAACAAGCTTTCGCCAGTTCTCCCTGGGCCGCTGCCAGGTCACACCTCATTTTCACAACAAGGTGCAAATGGGGAAGACATGGCGTCATGACGATTCTCAAGTTATAATTGCGGCTTGGACACACGCAGCAAACACTCTGAGCCTTCAAAAAGTTCCTGAAGAACTGAGCTGGCAGAATCTGCCCGGAGAATACCGACTCCGGATCCGCAGCGCCAAGGGCTTTCTTTGCCGCCTTCTTTTCACCTGCAGCTTCTGTAACCTCCACCGTGCGGCCTTCCAGCACAAGTTCCTTCTCTTTCCTAGCGCATGTCCACTCTGAAAACTAAGACTCTGAAACAAGAAACATTCCAGGCCTGGGCAGGTGCCACATGTCTACAGGTTGCAAAGCTGTCACAAAGGCACATGTGTCCGAGGTATTGTGCCCTTGGTAGTCGGTGTACGCCTTCTCGGGCAACATTGACGACAAGGGCGCCGCAGAAAACAGCCCGAGGCAGGAGCGTTGTGTGTAAGCTCCACGGTTCTTTTTCTTTCTTGAACGGATGGAAGAATCAGAAAACACAACCATCACTTCCTTCATCTCCGCGTCGATGCTTGCATCCTTGCGGGCCGTGCTTGCACGGAACAAGGCCTCAGCCTCTCTGCTGCTTCGGTCTCCAACATGGATAGCGACCACCTCAGCCTCGGCTGGGCAGGTCGCTTCATCGCCTTTTCGTTGTCCGTGCCGGGCGATGGTTGCACCATGCACCAACTTCCGTAGAAGGGTACTGTCTGGAACATACCTCTTCCGCAGAAGTTCTTGTTGCCCTGGTCCCATGGACTCTCCAAGACTGTCCAAATCCAAGTAGACAAGACCGCAAGATTCGCCTGCCTTGGGCTCGTGGTCCTTCAGAGCTTGCGTCACACTTTGGATGACTCCGTCCAGAGTGTGTGGCTCCACCGACAAAGCAATGTAGGTTCGCACTGTCTGGTTCGCCACGCTCTTCCAATACATTTCGGAGCCTTCCGAATGTTGTGTTGGAGGCTTCCGGATTGCGTCCAGCTCATCGGGACCTTCCTCCCTGCCATCGCGAGCAGTCTCTGGGGTCTCCAAGGCAGCCTTGCGCTCAGCCTCCTCGTTTGCCAATTGGACGAGAACCTTCCCCCACACTTCTTTCATGGATTCCTGTTCCATCAACTGTTCCGGTAGACCTCCCTGCTTGCACGCTTGCTTGAGACAATTGTTGTACTTGCTGCCATAGACAATGTCCTGGGTCAGACGGTAAAGAACATACTAACTTAACATGACAGTGAAGCCAGCCTGACTTACCTCTAGAAAGTGGAAAGCCTGGATTGAGCTTTTCGCCATTTTTGACATCCAGCTGTGGTCACCTTCTGCACCACTGTGGGCTCTGTAGGTGGAATGGTTCATCACCTTTTGCTTGAGGAGGGTCCTGTCCGCCTCGGACAACCCGGCCCTAGGATAGTGTTGGTCAAGAAGATAATCCAGAACCTGACACACAAAGAGCAAAATGATAAAATATACAAATTTGCATTCTATTAAATGGTTTTCTCTGGTCGCCTTCTTCTTCAGTTCGTAGAGAGGGACCAGACCGACGTGATGCTTATCGCCGCCCAAACTGCTTTTGGAAATGTCGCCCAATTGCATAGTCTCATTGAGTAAACCATCGTAGAGACACTCCATGGCCCAGTCTCTGAGCGCTGGGGTCGAAGGCTTTGTCGACATGACATGAAGACGGGCCATCTGGTGAAATGGGGACCGGGTTCCGTAGTCTGCCTCCAACTGAAGCAGAATTTCCACAGAGCGGGCCGAGGCAAGAATCCCTCTTTTCACCGTCAAGGCTTGGCTGATCAAATTGGGAGTGAGCTTGCCGTCGTTCTCGTCTTCTTTGCGACCTCCTTGCACGGACTGTAATCCCATCGCGCCGAATTCTTTTGTTCGGGCATTTCCTAGAGACTCGCACAGAACACGTAGCTGATCAATCTCCAGGGCCCTCTGCATCGCAGTGCGCGACAAGCTTTCGTGTTCTTGCTGGACAGCTTGCCTCCGATTCCAATAGACTTGTTTCTGTCCGGCCCTTGGTCAATGAAGGACATCGGGACACTGAGCAGCACGGCTCGCCATTTGGCCCGCGCAGCTTCCCAGACAGACTGCTCGACGTCATCCTTCTGCCTCGGGGCAAATGATCAAATCAGTAAGGGAATGAAAAATTGTTGTGGAAACTGGGCTAAGGGCGACCGAATCATTGTAGCACAGGCCGCAAACATGCTGTGAACTAATTCTTCTGGCGAACACATCTGGAGGTTTTCTGGACACGTGGTTAGAGCATTTCGATCCACTGACAGCTCGACCATCCGGCCAGTCATGTGGGCTGGCGAGCCTTTCGGAAAGTAATACTCTGCCATATCCAGCACCCGTCTCCGGCTCATTGGAATTCCTGGTGTTGGAGACGCCAAGAGCTGTACCCAAAACAGGTTGCCAGAGGCACGGTAAACGCCGTTGAGCTCTAATGCCTGTTGTCCTTTCTCTAGATGGTACGGCTCTTGCACACCGCTATTCTTACCGTCTGAGAGAGCCAGGGGTGGCTCTGACTGAATGGCTGGGAACTCTTTGAGCACCAATGCAATGTCAGCCTCAACCTCGCCGTAATACGCCGAGTTGGTTGGGTCACGGGCAGTCGCAGCCTCCGGAGTCGGTGCAGACTTGGCCTTGGCCTTAGCCTTGGGCACAGCTTTGTCGGCAATTGCCGTGGCAGCTAGCTTTCGTTCAGCACAGGCCTTAGCCTTGCGTGTCTGGATCTCTCTCTTCACCAAGTGCTCCTCTTCTCCTTTGCCAACTCTGTCTTGCAGTTCTTGGTTCTCAGTCTTGTTCAAACGCCAGCTGCCGATGTTCTTCAATTCCATCTCTGGTTCCGCCATTGTCAACGTCTTAGAAGAGGCTTGACTTGACTGATGAAACGGCTGCGGAACCGAATCATTAATAAGTGACCTGTTGCAAACCAAGTCAAGCCAAGTGATTCAAGCCAATTTCAATGGCGTCGTCATTTTTCCCACGACGACATGTTCAGCCGCACCTGGTTCTTCTACGCGACCTGAAGGTGACGACGTGTTCACAGCCCCTCTCCCTTACCCATCGACGTTTCAGCATTGACCCTACCTCTTCCCCACTGACGTTGGGCGACGTTTAGCCGTTGCGCGCGACGTGGCCGGTGAGAGGGGAGTGGGATGTCCCCACTCCCCTCTCCCACTCCCAGCCCAGGCCAGACTCGGGAGCGGAGCACGGACTTCGGTGAAAGAGAAATGGGGGCCGCTGGTCACTGCAACGCACGCGTGTTCTTCCCTAGTCCTTCCCCAGTCCCAGCCCAGGCCAGACCCGGGAGAGGCGACTGGGATGTCCCCACTCCCCTCTCCCGGGTCCGTTGACGACGTTCGCGACGTTGACCCTAGTCCTTCCCCAGTCCCAGCCCAGGCCAGACCCGGGAGAGCGCCGCGACGTTTAACCGTTGCGACGTTTAACGGTTGCTTAGTTTAAGTTAACTTACTAAGTAAATCATAGTAACTCTGATGACTTAATGCTGCCGAGTGACATATGTCATCCGGTTTCCTGAAACACCTTATCCATGTGAAAGCCGGCTTGGGCGCCGTCCGCTCTGGTTGCTGAAGACCAAGTCGGCACAGAATAGCCAGCTGCTTTCAGTCCAGTGTATAATACAGCAGTCAAGACAGGAATGCTCATGGCATCGCCTAAGCTTCCTTCCAAAGCGTTAGCAGCCAGTTTCTTTTCTTTTGCAACTTTGGCCATGGCCTCGTAAACTTGCTGAGGCACACCCTGCAACCTTGCGGCTTCTTCAGGCAAAAGCCTGCGTTTCAATTTGGGAATATAATACCCTCTCTGTTTCAGCCGAGTCTTCGTGAGGCAAGGCGAAGCGTTCCGGATCACACTCTGGAACCTCTCGCTGGAGCCAATGTCTAAGACATACCCTTGGGTCCACATCTTTGGCCCCAGAATCTTCTCATATTTGGGCAACTTCAAAACTTCATTTCCGACCGTATTTTTCTTCAAAAAGTGATGCAGGTCCACTGGATCTGTTTCCTCCGGCATGTCTAAGCTACTTTCACAGCATTCCTTCGCAACAGCGAGAAGATACAGCCGGCTACGAGACTGTGGACACCCGAAACGAAATGCTTCGTGTTCAGAACCTTGAAAGTAAATGTATAGTTCAAGGTTGTCAGAGTCTTTCGAACGAAGCCCCAAACTTTCTCGTGTGTCTTGTTCAGAATTGCAGCAACCTGCTCCAAGACCACGATTCTAGGCCGTCTTGAAGCTATGTACTCGAGACCTTTCAAAGTCAAGAGGCCCCGCTTGTCCATGACACCTCCTCTTTTTCCGAGGTTACTGTAAGAAGGACACGGGTAACCTGCCGTGTAAACATCCGCAGATTGACGGTCATTTGGTTTCCTCAGACTCATATCTGACACGGCGACTGCGTGATGAAGCTTCACTCCACACGCCTTCGCAACAGCTTCATATAACACGAGTTTCACAGGGTCAGTCTCAGACATCATCGCAGGATGTATGCGGCTCGTCAGGCCAAGCAGACGGTACGCGATCAAGTCTGATCCGTACCCCGAACAGTCTGAGGCAGTCCTCATTCGCCGTGGCGGGGACTCATGTTTTGCCAGGCGGTCTGCCCAGTTTTGCGCCAATGCGTTCACACGTTCCAGCTGTGAGCGCAATGTCTCCTTGGAGACGACATCCTGTTTAATTGACCTTTTGTCAATGCATCGATCTAGAAATGTCTTTGTCATGACGACATGGAAACGGCTGGGTCATGCAGACACAAAATAAGAAATTCAAACATGCTGCTGCGTATAAATTTACTATATTGCCACGCCACAGCAGCGACCTTCGACAAATTGTACGACTAATTTTACCCGCGGCGAACCCCCCATGCACACACAGGTATCTCTCATTGGTCCGTTTTGGACACATGAGCGCTCAAAGATTTGTTTAAACAAGTTCTGTTGAGCCACTGCGCGAAATCAAGGCTCGTCATACACTTCACCCCCGTGCGCTGGAAACCTTGCACAGTTTCTGCGCGACCCTTTAAAAGTAGACTCGGCTTCCTTCCGCGGCCTTTCAATCCCTCCATGCGAACAGCTTTCCAACCTTGGTGGCAAGCCTCCCTCATGATCAACGTCAAACCCGGTTCCTCAGCCTTGAATGTATCAGTGAGGAAAATAGCCACCTCCATATCCAAGCCTCTCCGGAACTCCAGTCTGGTTCCGCCTCGCCCGCACAAAGCAGGCGCAGACACCACGACAGAGCCGAGAAGAGCAGCCATGACTCTCACTTTCCTCTCTACTCGGCAGAAGTTATTCACCACCATCAGGCGTGCTTGTCGAAGGTCCTGTCAGGGATTCGCTCGGCGATTGAGAGTATGCAGTTAATTACACAAGACACACCTGCCTGAGTGAAAGCCTGAACGCCTTGCCCACGAAGCTTCAACTTCATTGCCGTCGGGGCCTGGAGCCCTCGACCGAACCAAGCAGGCTCGGGCAGACCCGCCAAGGCCCATTCCGTCGTTTTTTGCTTGGTCATCTTGGCGTGCAACTGAAATTCGGCATGTGTCTTTGCACGCTTGGTGTCATTTTTTCTTGTTCTTTCACCATTCTGATAGCCTCGACCTCTATCTCTGGAGTAATCTCGCTGGCAAGCAACAATCCGTCCTTCAACGCTTCGGCCTTTCGTTTCCTTCCTTTTTGATTCTGAAATTCACTCTCCTTGGCCATAGACTGAGGCAGTTCTACTGCCGGTTTGCGGGGAGGCGTCGTCAATTCATCAACTGCTGCAGACACAGCTTCTTGGCGACGTCGATTCCACGCCGCCTGTGAGGCAGGCTTCTCTTTGCCCTTTCTTCCAACATCGAAGCGTTTGCGCTTGCGCAAACGGCACTGTTGAGATTTCGTCAAGGACAGGTAGATTTTGGCAGCCTCTTTGACAACCTTAGACTTACCCTGTCTTGTGCGCACATGATCAGCCCCCATGACAACACATAGCCTTCTGTTTGTGTCTTGAGACGCATCAGCTGTCTCAATGGGAGAAGCTTTGATTTTCGAGAACAGCTGCTCAACACCTGAAGTTGAACAGGTCCAAGCCATGTACGCCGCCAAGAGTGGAAAGAGGGCGTCCGAGTCATATCTTCCTCTGCAGGCTTTGCGGGATCTTGTGCGTTGGAAAGCTTCTTTCCACGCATCCCTGTTCATTCCGCCAGTTTCTTTCTGTATGGCCGTGGCGATCGGAAGCAAAACCGTGTATTGCTTCTTGGCTGTGGCACAACAGACACCAAAGGCTTGAGCAAGCCTTTCTAAGTTCTTTTCTAAATCAGCATGTCCGGAAGACGCTTTCTTCTCGCTCAGATTGAAAACGCCAAAGGCTGCAATGAGATGCCAATCAGGAAATTCGTGAGCTACCGTCTCTTCCATTAGGGCCACCCACTCCTCCAACACAACCCACAGAAACAAAAAATACAGTTTCGGACTGCCAAACCAATGTAAAGAAAACAATGGACAACACAGATTTCCGAAACTTTGATTGTCCTGCATCACTCGAAACGCTTCGTCAAGATCCGGCTGCGAAGGCTTATTTCTTCTGCAAAGCCATCATGCAGGAGAATGAGGGGGTCTGTCCGATCCATAAACTCCTTTGTGAATGTCGGAAGCGTTAGCACTTGTCTTTCCACGAAGAGAGTCCGCGCGGACATCACCAATCGGTGCACTTCATGATTCAAGGTGGCCACATCAACACCTTCTTCGTCGCGGCGCCGTGTGAAATCATTGCAGATAGCTGCTGCGTTGGTAGCCATATGCAAGAGAACAGCTTTCTCCGCAGAGAAGTTTCGGCTCAGTTTCAGTGCCCAGGTGGCCTCGTCTCTTAGACAATGCACGCGGCTCAGAACTTTGAAGACAGCGTCAATGTTCTGACACATGCGGGACAAGGGCGTCAGAACGCTAGCGAACCGATGCTTCGCAGCAGACATCGAAGTGCTAGGCCTGACTCCAGGATTTGCCTCCTGACTTTTCACAGCAGCTTGCCACCACTGTGTCAGGACATGACTATGCCAAACCTTCTGAGCAAAGCTGTCTGTGCCATGGCACCATTCCTGAATCAAGCCATGCAGGACTTCGCTCTTGTAAAAGGGCCGCTTGAGCAGCCTTGTGCTGCTGTGCGCTGAGTCACGGCCTACCAACTTAATTTGAGGCATGTCTGCTTGTCCAGCTTCGTCGGCGAAGCGCCGCTTTCCTCTCAGCAAATCTGTCGCAAGCAATTCTGGAGCCGCAGCGTCTGTGACGATGACTGACACAGACTCTTGGACACATTTTCTGATTTCAGTGTCCAGCTCCCCCTGTTGCACAGCTGCACCACGGGGCGGCAATAGCAGTGGTGTGCAAAACTCAGTCAAGATTGCCTGGGTCGCCTGGGCCACAGACTCCGATGTGCCTACACAAGGTTTCAAGCCCAAGACTCCAGACCTGACCTCAAGTTGCTCATTCACAGCACGAAATCTCACAAGGAGATTCCCCTTTCGCTCATCCCGCATGAGCGCAATTGACTTTGCCGTAGCCAAGAACTCACGGTTCTCTTTTAGAATTCCTTCAGACACGGCGTACCGTAGTCTGTCCTTTTTGTCGCTGGTTCCAGAACCGGCTCTTGCGCTACCTCCTGACCTCATATCATCCAAAGTTTCCTCCAGTTCTTTGCTAGCAGGGCCCAAGTGGCAAGATCCGGCTTCCGAAGCCTGGTGTCCATTGGACTTTTCATGCCTCTCCAGCCTCTCCAGATTGTGTTTCCTTAGAATCACATTTGCATCCTGGCTAAACTTGGCCCATCCCATGGGCCATCCAAGCCATTGGAGGCACAGAGCTCGCAACCCAGCTTCACCTCGCCATCCACAAGCGCGGCCCGTAGCCATTTTTCTTGAATTGCTTCCACGCGCAATGCAACGCACATAGATTGCATTTGGAGGCTTCCTGCTGGCAGCCTTTCAAGTGCTGCAAAACCATAGAGCCTGGAACAAGGCCTGGAAAGGGCGCCATGGGCAACTACGACGTCTGCAGGTCTGGTTCAAATGTTGTGGTACTTCATTGAATACGGTCAATATTATTTGCTACCGGAGGCTGCAACTGAAGCCAAAATAGGTCCCCTATCAGAAAAAAATGCGCATCAGGGTCAGTGGACTGCTGTCAAATTCGACCCTCCCTGCAGTAAGGAAGCCATTTTCCAAACTTGGTCAGTCAGTCCAATTTCCGGCGCTTGTTATAGTGTTCTGCCAGCAAGTGACATGGGCAGTCACAAGCTGTGAATGTCCACGGGGTTAAGCCCGGCGTGGTGCAAGCGCAGGTGTCACACGAAACTTGCTTATCGTCTGGCTTGCCGACGATGGTCATCTGAGCAAACCCACAATGCACCTTTCCAGTTTCATTACTTTGAACAAATGGAACATCCCCAATCCACTTCACTGCCATGGCAACTTGTTTCTGGGCCAGTGCCTCTTCTGGTTGGTCCAAATTCTTTTCTTCTGCAGCGGTGTCTGCCTGTCCAGTAGACAGGCCCCGCTCCACATCTAACACCGTAGGCGCAATCGCCATGACACTTTCCTGAACCTCTGAGCCAAACTGAAGGATTGAGAGATTCAATGTCAAGGCTGCCAGACCACACATCATCTGTCAACACATGTGCAAACAGACCCCACAACCCCTTTTTCCATTTGTTCCACATCTCTGAGGTCTAATCTGTGGACACATTGACTATTGCGTCTCAGGCTCATGCTCATATCGCCGCCGATATTTGAATTTGAATTGTTTCTTCGCAGGCCCACGCGTGGGACGCTTGGATTCATCATCCGAATCGTCGGTTTTGGGTTCAGACTCCAGCACCTTGGCGGACGTCACTTGCCCCTTGGCTTAGTTTGGGCTTATTAGCCCACGCCTGCCAGTTAAGTTACATTTTCCCGACGATTCTGCAAACACAAAATCTCACGAATGTCGTCAAGTAATTGAACCCGACATCTCCTTGTCGTGAAAAAGGAATAGCCTCCGATC